TGCTTGTTAGAAACATCCTGAAACGGCTTTTAGCGTAAGAATCCCTTCACTTATCAAAGGCTATTAAAACGATTGTGCGGCTTGTGGGCTTGTAGGCAATTCTTCAGAGACACGGGTGCGAGGCGACCTGAGTTAAGATGCTAAGAGAAATGGCGATCGAGGATCCCAAGATTTAAGTGGCACTTTCAAATGTGCCTACTTTTAGTGTTATTTTCTAAACGGAAACCATTTGTTTTGCCTCGCGCACGATCGGGGAGAAAAATTCCCCAACCCGATCCCTTTAACATTTTTCTACGATTACTCTAATACAAACTTGTAATCGTTCAGAAAATAAATTGTACATTTCTCTTGCAGTTTATGTTGATCAGACATATGCATTTCATTAGGAGGAACTAATTCATATCATCATAAAGTTGAACAGACCACGGATTGATTATAATGTTACATGATATACATTAACGATACAACGAACACGTGTGCAATAAAACAAACTGAAGTGACGAATTATCTTAATTAAATGAAGTTTTTAATCTTTAATAAAATATCTTACATAAGTTATCATCAGGTAAGATATATTTGAAAATGACTTTAAACATTCTAATTTAATAATGCCCCAGTGAATTCAGGAAGGTATGAGATTGCGTATGTATATAGAGTATAAACAAACCATTTACAGGTATTAAAATTACCTGTGCGTGCGTATAGCATGCGTATGAATCATAGAGTCCTTCTGTCAGGTTGTTTTGGAAAACCATTAGTTAAACGTCCAATAAAACGTAATGCGCCGCTCGAAAAATAAAACCCAGCCAATTCTGCGTCGCTCTAGCCGTAAAAGTTGCTTATTCGCGGAACTCTGACGAGCCGAATGAACAAATTGCAACTCAGACACCATATCATATTTTAAAATGAATATCGAACCTAAAGGATTTTATTAATTAATGGCCTTACGTAATTTTAAACAAAGTAACAGTTGCGAGAAAATTTATATCATACATTCATCGTGAATGTATTATATAATGGGAATGTTTAAAGGCTTTAAAAATAAAGAAAATCTCAGACGCTTTTTAAAATGAACATCACAAATGTTACAAAAACAGAATAAAAGAAACACTATAAATATTTGAGTTCAAAAATCAAATATAACTTATATATTTTTTGTTCGCGGAGCTTGACAATATACAAAAAACTATACGATATAACCAATAATAATGATGATTGAGTGAAAAATATATTGCAACAATAATGTCAGATTCCCTAGTGACTAGGTTATATACAAATATATTGACTAGGGCTTGGTCTATATATTTGTATATAACCAGAGCGTATATTCAATAATAGATAAGAAAGTCAAAAAAAATCAAACATATTCGATGTTTTAATTAAAGTTGACGTGATTGAAGTAGGTGGTATACGCGTATTATAATGATACGTTATATAACATCATCTGTTTTTACAGCAAATTATTTTCCCTTATTCATGGTGGGTGCGTAGGAATCTCAACTTTCGGTGTCATGTAAATAAATACCATGTTGGTATGTTATTACAGTGTCGAGACAATTTTAACAGGTGTGACCCCATAAAGAAACGCAGGTGTATGTGTCCCAGGGCCGCTTAAATCCAGCAAATAGAAATTGATGTTAGAAGGTGAAATCTAAACTACGCCATATTTTACCCATTTTGCGGGCCGTCGTTGCTTTGTTGTTAAAATTCATGGTAAGCGGAAGCAATTAGGGTGGTAATGTGTAAAGATGTAATGGAGTGACGAGAATTTGTTGTGAGCGCTTTAATGGAGCTATATATAGGTACTCGTATACAGCGTATCCTGCTGAACTTTTGTTAATTTCTCGATCAATATGTCAATTAAAATCATTGTTATCTAGCTATAAAATCTTTATATAACTTTAAATTTTGGATAATGACCGAATCTATTCGAAGCTATTTAATCGATGGAAGAGGTGTGATGATGAATGTTAATTATAAATTCGGAATAATTTATCACGACGCGGCGTTAAAGTGAATGAATACCTTTTTTTCCTGTCATAAGTATTCACGATTTCACCCTATCACTCTTGTGCGGGAAGGCGGAGCAGCTATTAGCTTAACGACCATTTTAATATAAGAGATGACAATATATTAAATTTACGAGGGCAAGCTACCCGTAGCGTAAACGTCGATGCTGACGTGACGCCTCTGTCTTCTTTATTGCGTACGTAAATATAACTATCAGATGTGTTTATGATATGCCGAAGCGAATTTTTAATGGCAACATTTGTTTACGAGTCACGCACCGAGTGTATATCCGATCGTCGTAACGCTCATACCCGGTTAAGTGCTGTAGTGGCACTCATCAAACGCCGTTTCCTTAACTTTGTAACTCTGGCTTTACATTCACGGAAAGCGAGTAAAAAGTTACCCCGTAACATTGATCATTTGCGTCGACACGCAACAAAAAAGGGCCAGAATAATAAGCGATTAGTTTCCCGTCGCCAGCGCCGCAGACATTACGGGAGCGCTTCGAGCACATCTCCCGTTTCGCACGGAAGCAAGCTGTAATTACTCTAAAACACTACCCATTTGTTTGATGTCTTTGTTCGTTGTTTGTTCCACTTAGGGCGAGCATCACCCTTGCGATTTCGCTCGACACATGCCGCGAGTACCGTGCGGCCATTACTCGCGGCATAATAGAGCGAGACAAAAAACAAGCATTAATAATCAAGAATATGCATCGGCGTCGGGTAGGGGGGTATCTGTTCCCGTCCTTTCAGCCGGGAGGATGATAATGGCGTTGGGAACTTCAGCGACAAAGACAATGTAGGTAATGGTTCGAATAGGCGTGCGTACACCGCTGCGCCGCGCATGGATTTTAAAAAAGTCAAATCCAGCACAATTTGCGGGCCATTGTGAAACAGCGAATATGTATGTACCATGAGAAATATATTACTTTACTAAAGACGAATTCATCCAAATTTGGTGAGAATTTGAGAAATGAAATCGCAGGTTTGATATCTATTTCAATATAACATTACATAAACATACCGCGAAAGCACTAGAAATCAGTATTGCTAATTATAAAGGGACTCCGAAGTGCAAGCGATGTGGTACTCGTGGGGTTACTGCGCTACTTGTGTGCTTGATAATACGTGTATGCGCGGCTGAGCATTCCCATTCGACGACGGTGCCCTACCTTCCCCCAGAAGTTTTCTATTTTAATTTAAACATTTCTCAAGTGACTCCCCCAGGGAGGCATTTAATTCAAACGTGTACGGCTGACATTTCTAATGCTTGAGTGAATTTTGATAAACAAAGCAAACAGTTTAGTGTGGACATTACTATTCAGTGGTGAATGTGATGTTATTATTTTTATTGGCGTTATGATGTGATGCATGGATGGGTGCTATTAATTTGATTGTGTCCAGGAATTTTCGTTAGAATAAAGCGAACAGGCAGCGGTCGTGTAAGTTACACAGTTACTAGTTAATCGGGTGTAAGGTTTATGGCGGTACATGATCGTAATGGACCAGTAAAGGATGAATAGTATACTACTAAGAGAGAAATGGAAAACATTAAACTATATGGCTCGGCTATTTTTATGTACCGATATATTAATTTCTTAAACTGGACTGGACACAAAAGAAAAAGGTAATACGCCAACATATATTAGATATGGAATTTTATATTAAATTAAAGTATTAATGGTGCATATAAAAATTAATTCACTTCCACATCTTAGGCTTATAATAATTAACTGAAAGTATGTAAACATCATACATATTCAACTTCATCGTTAGTAACTTTTAGGCCAGAGTTCGAATCCAGTATTTTTCGATTTTTGAGAGATTTGAGCATCATATTCATTATTCATATATAACTAGTGCTTTAGTGATCTTTCGTTAAATAAAACTTCGAATTGAAAAATGTCATTTCACTATTTCAATTTATATTTAACTAAATCTCTTATGATGAATCGCTCGTATTAGTACAATTGTAAATCCTTTATATTATATGCTTTTGTTCGCGTCCGCGCCCTCTGGCGTGGGGCAATCTAAATAGAGTAAAAGTGGCCTTTAGTAGCATTTTATTGGGTCTGTTTGGGCCGCTGCCAACTCTGCTTCTTCTAATTGATATTTGACGGACAACAAGGAGATTGGGTTGCCTATATACTAGTAAACAACCTCTTTTAAGATAATATGAACTTCTCTGTATAACACTGAGATGTTTTAAAAGCTGTACTTGTTAGCTATGATGTGAATTTTACAGCGTGAGTACAGAATTCATTTGGAACAAACAGTACGGGATATGGCAAGAAGAAAAATATGATTTGTGTAGTATTAATTCATATTATAAATAGTTCACGCCAAAATGTAATAAGAAACAAACGAATCTTTTTATTGTTTATTGTAATAATCATTATTTATTAAGGTATTGCATAAGTACAACACCTCCTTTAGTACCGTCAATGATGATTAATCACTTTAGTGACTAAAGATAATATTTTTTCATGAACGTAATTTTCTGTTTCTCAGTAAAAGTTAGAGTAATTATACCCACCATTGATTCTTTGAACTTCGATAGATAGCTAAAAAATATAATCATAATTCTGCTGAAGTTTTTCTTATGGATGCAACAATTAAAAAAATATTTTTCACATAAAGTTTCAATGTACTCAAATAAAGGTTAAAAATATGAACATTGGTATGAGGAATTTCGGTCCGATCGTATTTATGTTTGACTAGGTCTTCTGTACCGATCCTTATTCACATTACAAATAAACTACAACGAGATATTGAAGATTAAGCGATTTCATGTTCACATTAACACGAATGGAGGTCTAGGTCTCACACAGAGATGGCGACGCCAGGCTAGACATAAAAATTAGACAACATCATAATATAGTTGTATTGTAGTTGTAACCTACAGTGCTATAAAGAATTACCAAATGTATTTTCATTTTGTCGCTTAAGGATGAGTAGTAATAAAAATATTAGTATATAAATGCTTACCATTTTGTTGTTGATTTCGTGAAAATGTATTTCGCACACTTTATCTACTATGTCTTCACTTTGAAATGTGACGAAACCGAAACCTGAAACAAAACAAATCAAGAGTTAGTGGAACAGTCAAATTAAATCACAACGACGATATTGCGGTGACGTACGTGTCGCATGATATTAAAGAATTTGTCAACGCTTGCTTTGTAAATTGTCGTCAAATTATAATTAAAAACCTACTAAATTGTAGTAGTAATTTCGACGTCATGTCATGTTTTATGAGGGTTCGCAACAGTACGTTACGTTCAACATGATAATGGACGCTGATTCTTTTTTATTACATACCATTTTTCCATGATCAAATTTAACGTTTTTGTAAACATAGTTCCAAAAGTTTTTTTTTACTGTTGTTGTCTGCCGAAAAATCTTTGATATCGTTTTAATGAAAGCCAATTTAGCTTCGAGTTAATTTCAAAAGGAGCGTCAATCAGGTTTCGACAACACCTTTTACAGATTGTAAGGCGGCGTGGAACGGACAGACACCGTCTTTATTCACAGTGTTTAATAAAATATTGACACTCTAAAATCAAATATAAATTTCGAAACGCTTGTATATTTCATAGTTGGAGATCTATAAATCAAACGTACAAATGCTATTTGCTGTTCGAAATCGAATTTCGAATCAAGTTTTGAGTCTAGACAAAGCTTTTGATTACATTAATACGATATATCCTAAGCACACAATCTGCCACACAGAAAAGCCTGAACTTCGAACGTGACCCCGTTTCGCCGAGTCATGTAATCACCTGCCGCCGACAAAGTTCCCGGTTAAAGTGACAAACAAAACAAGGCGACGAGCAAGCGTGTTTCGTATAACGATTAAGATACACACACGTGACGTCCGCGCTCACCCTCAACGGCAAATAGCATTAGCGCGCACTCCGCAAACAGCAGGCGTCGCGGGCCTTGATTATGCTGGCACTGACACACATACACCCTTATTCCGCTCAAAACTTTCAGTTCATCCCGTGTCCACGTGTTGATATGGGCACGTGCCACTTGAAGATCAATATCGCTGTCAAACTTCCCGGACGGACGGGATGACTCACCCTTAAACAAAGAATGTTTAACTACCCCCGCGGCTCCCAATCAATACCGGCGCAAATGTTACACCGTTCTCGCCTGATATTTATAATCAGGCGTGCGATGGCTCTTTGTTAATATTTAGTCCATCACCTTTCGCGGCTTCGGCTTGCCTAAACAAACAACAGCGTTCGTTCCGAAACTAGGGCGTACTTGGTATTTCACGCGTGGCCGGGCGGCTTTGCGTACGAATCGAGTCAAAGATAGTAACACTCCGAAAAGGCAAATAAGGGTCGAGCCGAGTTTCGTAGATGACCGTATTTTTCTTTATGCATTATAAGGACGGTACGGTTTATCACGGAAACCGTTTTTCCGTTATTGCTTTCCCAATAAAAACGATTGGAAACAATATCCCCACTTACATAAAACATGGTGTTTGGGAAGTCGTCCTAGAGTGGATAAAGCATGGTTTTGATGTTTAGATTATGAGTAGGATAGAAATGCGGGGGTGGCGGACAAATATTATGTAGTTGCGTGGCGAGCAGAGAGCATTCTCCCGGTAATTTATGCGGGTCTGGAAACTGAATAAAGCCCCGCACTCACCGAGGAATACTGCAACAACAGGACGCGGCGACACCGGGCGGTGAGCGGCGGGCTAGCAACATTAGACACATTTCCGCAGGAACAAACTCGCTACAACTCGCCGCCAAGAAAAAATTAACAGCGAACTATAAAAGGTTCAAGGAAAGAGCAGGTAACGATGTCTCAATTTTGTTTTCTGTACGTTTGTACTGAATTCGTAACTATCATTTACTAATTGTTTTCCCTTGCAGAACTTCACGCTTTTAAAAAGTTGAATACGTAATAGAAATACTGCAATATTATTATGATAAGGTTGATGATGTTTCAAGTGTAAAAAATGGTCTGCAAATAAGAATTAAATTCAAGAAGAAATTATCTGTTCGTGGAAATAAAATATAAGTTTACATTGTGATACAATTACTATTATAACCCATTTAATGAATTTTCAGACACAGATAGTTCTACCAAATTCACTTTACAATAAATTAAGGATTAAAGTGGACATAAAGAGTGCAAAAAGATTTATCAATGGATCTTTGCAATGGACTTAGTGAATCCGGGGTTATTCTGTAAAGACCTCACATTTTCCTGGATACAATTGTATCCTACGTCTTTTAATCCGCGTTATTAAGTATAGGTGTACACTGAAATCCGTTAAGCTCTTTTCGCGTGATTGAATAACATATATGCAAACATATAATAAATATCCAAAAAAACTTTCACATAGTAATATAGTTACACATCAAAGGTTGTTATTATATTGTTATATGGAATAATTATGACTTTAGACTCTAAATTTAGTTAGTATCTAAAAATAAAAAATCAGTCGTCATGAGTGTCCGCATCAACGAGAACTAAATTATCAGTTGCGATTGTTGTTGATAAGCAGAACCAAGTGAATTTAATTTCAAAGCTGATCGTTATGTTAGCCCTACGCTGAACTACAATGGATACAAATGAAACGCTAAGAGAAAAGAGGAACAGCATTGTCACTGACCACGTAAAAAGTTTTGGGTATCGTGCTGCCTTTGTGTGCAGGATAAATGGGGTATTTTCGTGAAATTCGTTTGCGTCACTTCTCGTAACAATGGGGAAAATAAATAATCTCCGCGCAAGAAAAGGATTCCGTAAACATAATTATTTGAACTCGCAATTGTAGCTGTGAAGCGCTAATGAAAGTTCTCTAGTGCTACTCCAGGAATTAACTTTATTTTTCCCCGGCTTCAATTAGAGTGGGGGAGGGTACCTTTATTTTTCAGATGGAATACTTTAATTAAATCTTGAAGCTTACAGGTGAATTGAAAAAGAGTCGGTTAATTTCTTTGAAACATCTCATCATTGTTTATCATTCTTGACTAAGCTCTCGGTTCACTACAATTACCACGATAGCGAAAATAAAATTTAATCAAGCAGCGAGAGAGAGAGAATTTCAAATCTTGACAACTGCTCAAAAACCGAGAGAAAACTTCGTTTGAACCTTCGTCCGCAGCACAATATTTTTGCTTAATAATTCGATTTTAAAATATCATTGCGAATTTCCCTTCATAACTCAAAAAAGTTTTGCAACGGTAAGCCGAAAGACGAACAGGCCTCGCCCTTTTTTATTAATTCACATCGAGTTCGCACCTGTGATGGCGCCGTTCGTTATTTTAATATAAGAACTGGGAGGTTGGAGACGAAGATTATGAATGTGTCTCCCGATATCGGATATCTCGACACATCTGTCGGGCGGCACGTGGGGCTGACAGTGGGCGGCCGCCCGCCGCCCTAACCCCCGAATCGGGGCCATAGGCAGTATAATCTGCCCTAGCACTGTATGAAACACCGGCCGGTGGCGTTTATGGCGCTATAATAACCGTATAAAACGCGACTTATTGTAGCCGTCGATAACGTTACAACCTAAGTCGAGTTCGTGCCTTCCCCTTTCCAAACACACCTTCGCTTCTCGTGTTTCAACCCGAATAAAAGTAATGTACTATTGCTGTTGTAACTAGCAAGTTTTCATTAGGAGTGAGCTGAACAAGCACTCAAATGAGCAGCTAAAGTTGTCCGCCGGCCGCGCTCCGACGTCCTCAACTTTTGTTATTGTTTCACTTCATTATTGTAATACGAAATACGCAGCACAATAATTAAGAGATGCTCGGGAATTGTCCCTTCTGACGTAATAGTTGGCCGAAAGTTTTATCAACGAGCTCTCATCGCGACGGAATGTTTGCTACGTAAATAATTGCCGGATTGCTTCTGAGTCCAGCTAATAATAACAAGTTAATAGTACTAGTTATTAGCAAGGAAAAGACTGAGTTATAAGAAAAAGGGAAATGCTCGCGCCATTGCCAGCCGTTGGACGATCAATGCTTATTAGAAACCTATCAACTAAAATGGACCCTTATTATGTAGTAAATTAAGTCGCTTCAGAAATAGTGATTATGCCTTGACGTTTTTAATAATAGTTGTAGTTGTTTATAAAGGTTTTCACAATTAAATATATTTCTTTGTTAAAAGTTCAATATACAAGACTTGCTGCTTACACAACCAAATTGGAACTGATAAAAACCGATTCCTATCGCGTAATTGTAGTGCGGAACAGCGAATATTTTGAATTTGTGTTCAACAAGAACTCTCTTCAACAAGTTTAGGTTGTACCAATAACATGGAAAATGATTACAAATGAAAGTATATATAATGTAAGACAAAATTGTTGTCTCTGCTTTTAAGAAAAATATGTTTATTTATTACATAAAAATACTAATACACATCGTGAATTAAAGAATATGGCAAATAGAAACAGCCAAACTCACAACAGTAAAGGACATTCCTCGTTACCCATACATTGAATGCCCCAAAACGCACAGGAATGAGAAAATGCTAGTTGTGTTCGAAATCATTCATAAACTCTCATCAGGCATTTGTTGAAATACAGACAACTTGAGGAACCGTCTAACCTACTACAGAATGTATTAGATTTTGAGGTTATAATTATTAAACTAAATCGTGAACAATGTATGTGTTCTGGATAGATTAATTGTTTACTCTATATAAGCACTTAAATAATATGAATTTACTGAACATAAAATGCAATTAATAATACAATTAATAAATGCTCATATTTATATTAATTTATGAGTGTTGGCAGTTGCCACTTATTTAACATCCATAACTGGAGTAAAAATGCTCGTATTCATCACACAAACATCTGCCTCCACCGGGATTCGACCCCGGAACCTCTCGAGTCGATGGCACCATGAAACCCGGCGCACAAACCACTCGGCCACGAAGGTCGTCAATTAATTAATAATAGATTTCTTTTCAATATAAATGTTTAAAGGCTTTCCATTTACCTGATTCTATATATTATTATTGGTATACCTGGTTATCATTATGATTTTCATAAATATAAAAAGATATTATATGGGTTGGGACTATAACTATCTA